ATCAAAATTATTCTTAAAGATCATAAACAAAAACTTTTATCAGACACAGAAGATTGGAAAATACAATTGTTCCAAAATACAGAAACATCAGTCTAGGTACAACTGCTGAGTTTGACAAAGTTCTCTCCACCATTAAAGAACAAGAAGATAAAATCTGCAAAGCTGTACATGAAAAAAGCATTCAACTCACAGAAGAAGTAAGCAGTCGAAAGAAAAAAGCTATAAGAAAGAACAAGGAAAGCCAGTCTTTAGCAGAAAAAGCTGAAAAAGAAGTCAACCAAATTGTTACCAAAAATAAAGATATTCTAAATGATAATGATGCCACAGCCATACTTAAATACCAATCAAGAAATGGGGATTTCAGAAAGGGCCCACATTTACAAAGTTTTTCTTGTCCAATGTTACTTCCTGGTATTATTAAAGAAAACCATATTACAGAAATGTTTGGTTTTCTTCAGACTAGGGACGAACTGCGGGAAAAAACCCAAGAATGCTGAAAATGATTGATGTCCCTTTGGTACTAGGCACCATACAAAGTCCTTATGGAAACCATGAGGAATTTGGTATTGAGCATCAGCTACGGAATGTTCAGTGTGTTGGGAGGGATAAGATCTTGACCAGTGGAGGTGACAAAACAATAAAAGAGATAGACAGGACTGGATCCATATTAAGAACAATTCATACAAATGCTATTGTGTGGGCATTAACGATTAACTCACAAATGGAACCAGTGCATTCCATAAGTTATGCTCATAAACAAAATGCAGACATTTATGTTTATAATAAGAAGGCAGTGAATGTATTATTCAGCATACTCAATTGGTTTCCTGTCGGTCTTTGTTACACAGATAATGGAGATCTGCTGGTGAGTATGCGATCTATGGATAAAACACAGAGTAAAGTTGTTAGATACTCAGGGACCACAGAGATTCGAAAGATTCAGTATGACAGTCAGGGCCAACCTCTGTTTTCTACTGGTGATACAAATGTGCTTCTCCTGACTGAGAATGGCAATGGTGACATCTGTGTTTCAGACAATAAAGGGAAGGCAGTTGTTGTGATGAATTCTTCTGGGGGATTAAGATTCAAGTATAAAGGCAATCTCTTTAACCAATCAAAGTACAGAGAGTTTGAACCATGTAATATCTCTACTGATGTCAATACTCAAATACTTATCAGTGATCTCTCAAACAACGTGGTCCACATCATAGACTGTAATGGTAACTTTGTCCGTTATATAGAGAATCTATGTAACGGAAGACTCAGTATTAGTATTGATGAAGATCACAATCTTCTCATTGGAGAAAGCAAAAGTGGAAAAATTCAGATTATCAAATATCTAGAGTGATGACAATTATGAATGATAAAGAAAAAAACCGACAAAATTACACTCTTTGTCTCATCAAGTTTCCCATGACTGCAGTATTTTACTCAGTGAAAAAAAAAAACAATGTCAAGTATTAAGAACCATGTCACAAACTCATAACTCAGATATTCTTAGTGCTACAAGTAGTATTTGCATTGTGTAACTATATTAAAAGGCACCTAATGTAATTCATTATCAGTTAAAAAATGTTATTAAATGTTTAGAAAATATTGCTGAAATATCAACAGGAAACAAAGGCTACAAAATGAATAACGAAAAGAAAGGAGAGGGAAGGGAGGAAAAGGCAATAAGGAAACCAAATTGACTACTGTTATTTACCAAGAAGAAAGCCATCCGAAATGAAAGATTGTGTATCTTATACACATCTCAACTTCCCGTGATGTCATTGTGTCTGAGTTGTGAATGGTGAAGCCCTGTGAGAGGAAAAGCCACCCAAATTCTACAATTCACTACATACCTCCTCTTTCCCCCTTTGCAAGGCCTCTATCAATTCACTACGTACCTCCTCTTTCCCCTTTGTAGGGCCTCTATCAATTCACTACCTACCTCCTCTTTCCCCCTTCGTAGGGCCTCCACCTGACTCTCTGTGGCCTGGAGTTTCCCCTTCAGTTGGGCGTTCTCTGTCTTGGCCTCCATCAGAAGATCCTGACATTGTTTGAGACTGGTGGAGGTCCCCTTCTTCTCACCTGTATTAGAAACATTGATTGATATTTTTCCTACTGTTGTCATTGATGGAAACCCATCCTCAATATATTATACACTCATCGATTCAAATATGCATATGTGAGATTGACCATGGATATCCAACAATGGTCATCTTATTCTATATGATAACAGTGTGTTTCAGTTTTTAAGGTCTTCACAGCTTGAGTTTTGCAACATATACAAAAACGTGACTGCTTCAGAAAACCGAGTTTTTTGGGGTGTTTTATATTATGTGTTTTACTATGTTGTTTGTATCCTGTTTTTTTCTAAGTTAAAGTGTAAGTTCAATTCACTATAATCAGTTTGTGAATCATTTTGTAAATGTAGTGTATTGAGTGTGTGTTAAAAATTTTTTATCCCCAACACATTTAATTTTGAGGGACTTTTTTGTACATAATGTATTTTCTTATAAAATAAATTGAAAAATTCATGTCATCTCTTTTTCCTATCCTATTAAAAAAAAAATAAAATGTTGGTATCATTAACTACAGGTTATTATTATACTAGGGATTTGAACTTCTGTGTCTCCAACAAAGATATCTTGAATACCATGGACATGCCAAGGTGATTTTGTACACTCAACCACTTTATTATTCAAATATTTAATCTTTGATGCTTCAAATCCATGAAAATATCAAAGATGTTTTTATTTCACTAAGAATGAGAATGAGATAAAGAGGTTTGAATGTACAGAATTTTTCTTAAAAAGTTTAAGTGAAACAGAGTAAAAAAGAATTCAGTGAATGTTTTCAGTGCCTTCAGCCCATTCAAAATAGAGTCAATACTGATTCAGCATTTCAGATGTGATACAATTACCTAAATTTTATTGAATGAGCCTGTTAGATATAGAGTCAATACTAGTTAAGCCATTGAGATGTGATAAATTAACAGTTACTTTTTGCTAGGGAGAATTGATGTTTGTATATCCTGATCTCCCTGCTTGTCTCCTGCTTGTACTGTTCAAAGTCTCGGATGATCTCCTCATGTTTGCTGCCTCGGGCTTTATACAGGATTTAAAGCTGAGCAAACTGTCTGTTGTCAAACTCCTCAACTGGAAACTGTGCAAATAAAACATATGGAATATTACTGTTGAACTTATCTTATTCCTTTCTTGTTTTGACATTTAATTAAGTGTTCCATTAGAGTATTTTAATTTTAAAACATCAGGGAAAATATTCCCCATCAGATCTTTCTGTAGAATCACATATTTTTCAGGGGTCAAATTTATCGTGGTTTGAATAACTTTTATTTTTTATAAAAATATTTTGCTATAGGAATTGGGAAATTTACACCTTTCTTTTGGAAAAAATGGTACCTTTTTTTGCATTGGGAACGGGGCCGAATATCGGCCCAGATTTAGAGAATCGAGATCCTGTTAACCAACACGCTGTCTATTCTGACAAATGTGTCTCCCAGTGTATGTTGGATTAGACAGTTTTTTTTTTTAAATTATTCAACAATTTACATTATATATTGTCACATTATAACAATTATTTCAATGCAAAGGAACTGATAAAACCTAAATATTTACCTGTAATATCCGATGTAATGATGGGGATGATGATAATGGTAATGCCCAGGTACACCCCGACATCTGAATGTTCATCAGCCCCGCCTTCTGCTTCCTGTCTCTTTGAGTTTCCCCGTACATAAAATGATCCCCCGAAGTCACATGATGCGGTATGTATGTGTTACCATGGTGAGAGGGGTCATAAACATTCGGCTGACCCTGATGTGAGAAGATATTTTGATTAGACCTATCACGAACCTGGTGAAACTGATGGTGATGATGTCGTTGAGGTCGGTGATGGTGATTTGATGATTTGGTGCTGCTTTGTTTACTGTTGCTATGGTAACTATCACTCTTTAACAAGCCCTCCTGGGATCTTCTCAAAACTGTTGATAAAATAATGTTGACATGTAAACATGCATTTCCTAAACTAAAGTTGAACATTTCTTAGCTGACACTTCATTAGACTTTTCTAAGATCATCAGATATTTGTTTTATCATAAACATATTGTCATGCATATAAACATTTCTTAAACTAAGGCTTGGTAGTATTTAAACTTAGAATTCAATATACTGTATTAAGACCAATACATGTAGATATTGGCGTTTTCATAGATGTCATCTGCAAATTTAAGTTGGGGGTCAAGAGTCTAAGCAATCTCTGCAGAATTTAATTTTCCTGAGGAAAATTTTCATAATGAAGCATAAGTAATGACTCAATAATTCTATATAGATATTTCATGAAGGATATTGAGATAACGAACAGTATTCAATCTTAAAATCCATAAAACTATACAAAATAAGAGCAGAGCAAACACGGACCCCCGAAACAACAGAAATGGGATCAGGTGTCATGGAGGAGTGAGCATCCCGTGCCAACCGGTCACATCCGCCGTGTGCTCCTTGTCATGATCAGGAAATAACAGAAAAAATCCGTTGTCAATTCGGTGTATAGATAATGGAGTAACAATTTGTATGGAAAACGTACAATTTTAACCCCGTGGGGATCCGGGTTAGAACTGGTCCTCAATACCCCCTTGCTTGTCGTAAAAGGCGACTAAATGGGGCGGTCCTTCGGATGAGACCGTATAAACCGAGGCCCCGAGTCACAGCAGTGGTGGCAAGATAAAGATCCTAAAGATCCTTAGGCCTACATTTGCAGCCCTTCACCGGCAATGGTGACGTCATCATATCACTGAAATATTCTGGAGAGGGACGTTAAACAGTATACAGTCAATACAGTCATACAGCTATAATACAAACTTCCCTTTTGAGATGATCTCAGCAGCTCTTGAGATGCCCTAAAGCTCTCCTGAGATTGTCTCAGTGAGGACATCAAGTCGTACTGACCCTGAGCTATATTTGGGACGCCCTCCCCCCCAGGGAGGTAGAGCTGGGGAAAGGGAACGTTTTCCTGTTCCACCCCTCCCATGGCAGAGGGATCTTCATCCTCCCCCACAATGACAATGGGCTCTCTGTAAGGATCAAGTCAGAATTAGGTCACACGGTCAGTTTCCAGCATAAGGACCGGTTTCCAGCATCAAGACAGAATTAGGTCATTAAATGGTCAGTTTACAACATCAAAAGAGAGTCAGAATAAGGTCAAAAGCTAAGTATACAGCATAAAGACAGAATTATGTCAAATGGTCAGTTTTCAGCATAAAGACAGACTATGGTCAACTGGTCAAATTCCTTGATAAAGACAAAATGGTAAGATTCCTGCATCAAGTCAGAATTAGGTCAAATGGTCAATTTCCATCATCATCACAGACACTACAGACTGCGTATGAAATTAAAAATCAAAGTAATTTAGAGTGTCGACGTTGTTTTTGATCTTACAATGTTAGTTAACCGTGCTCATGGTTAAAAAATATATTGCTTTGAAAATTGGCTATAATGAGTTCAAATTAACCAAATGGAATGAAGCTTCACAATTCGACAAAAAAAATATTGAAGAAAATGTGTTAATCTTTAATCTTGTAATAATAATACCACTTATACGAGCCTGTCTCGGATAAGTGAGTTTATTTCAGTAACCCTATGTCCTTCCATTCCGGATATCTTAAGCCCTTACAGATATATAACTATATGTACCTTTCGTCCCAATCTATCAATCCGGAAAATTAGGTCCATTTACATGTACTAGTCTAATACTTAGTTGTTTCCTCCTCTTCCTTTCTTGATAAATCGATAAAACGGTAAGGTCATGGAAAATTTTGTGAAGTTGAATTGTTGCAATATTTTAATTTTCGTAATGAAATAAGTTTAATTTCATGAGTAACTATCATGGTTTGTGATTTCTAGCCAAGTTAGACGTGCCGATGGTGTAATTATACTTCGGATTTTGCAAGATATTTTTGTCAAGATCAAACGTCGGCTAATTGGTTGAATTTACACGAT